GGACTCTGACTTGTATATCAGGACTGTGTTTGAATAATTCTGGAAGTGTTATTTAAAAATGTTTATGCTAAAATAACATCATTTGTATTTATAAAGGCTCTTAAAGAACTTGCTAAAGTCAGTGAAGAATTATGCAGCTATCAAGAGGAAATTCGAAAGAAGTCCAACCACAGAAGGTAAACCACATTTGGCTTCTTTAGATCAGCGGAAGGAAAGGAACAAAAAGTCCAACCTTGTTCCATTTAGAGTAAAAAGAATTTTACTATAGAATATACTTCTAGGTCCTAACTTCTCTAATTTCTCTTTATGCAGTATAAGAAATTAAATCAGAACAACGCTTCAGTCTTTTTTCCTTGCAAAAAATCCAGCTTTATCTACACAAAATATAAACTTGAATTGTACTTAGCTTTAACACAGCCTTGCAAGGGAACAGAAAGAAATAAATATCCATATCTGCCTCCATCCCCTCCCACACTAACTCACAGAGAGAGTTACAAAGATAGAGCCATGATTTCTTCCTTTCTTTACACACTAGACAGACTGTGTCATCATTGGCAAAAAACAAACAAACTGGAAAGTGTATCAAAAGATGCTCAGTATGAAGTAGTCACAGAGAGTGGTCTTGCACTATGCAGCCTGCCCCCAAAACACACGCACTTTCACAAAAGCCTTTCAGAGGTATCCGCTGACATCACCCCACGTGGACAAACTGCCGACGACATTACTACCGACCTGAATGAGAAATGCAGGAAACTTGACTGACGGGCCCCAGCGCCAGGGTGCCAGGAGGTGATGACCACCCAGGGGCTGGGTTAGAACATCAGCTTCTTTTAGCTGCAATGGAAAGATTTAGAGAAGGGACTCAAAAGCTCCCTCGAAGGAGAAGGGAGACGAGGAGGGTGAAGACTTCTGACACCGGAGAGCACCTCATCCTTAGGAATGGGTTAGCACCCCCCAGGGAACAAGGTCATTTTCAGAGTTTTCTAGAAAAGGCGATGGATGCTGGTTTGTGGTTGCACCATGCTGGATCTTCCAGAAGGGGAAAGGGAAGGATTTGGAGGCAGAGCAAAGACACAAGGGAGAAGATGAGAATCCGGCTCTAACATGCAGGTGCAGGGGGACTGGCCTTCCTTTGTTTGCTTGTTTGTTTTCCTCTTGGACGTTTCCGACTTGAGAAATGGCAACACACACATGGCTTCCAGTTTTGGTAGAAGGACAGAATTCCCACGGGCGGCACTGCGGAGACAGGGAGACGAGACAACTTACAGAGCTGCCTTCTTTTAAAGTCTCCCCCTTCAGTTCAATTGAAATGTCAATTTAGGTTAAAAAAAACATTTCTAGATTTTTTTCACGTTAAAACTGAATTACACTTTAATTGCCTCTTACATTCAATTAGTGATCCCCCTGCACTGCAGACAACAAGGTCTCCTTTGTCTGCTGGCCAGCAAAGGGTATGTAAGCAAGCTGTGCAGCAATAATGTTCCACACACTTCACAATGCCAACCCTCCACCCTTCTCTAAGGGGCGGGGATGTGGGGACCATTTGACAAGTGGGCAAAGACAGAGAGAACGGGGCAAGTCAGTTGTTCAAGGACCCAAGGCAGCTCTTCCATTGCCCAGGACAGAAGCCTGCATCAAGCCTGGGTCCACTGGAGCGCAGGGCTCTGAACTTAATCACACCTGGTACGTTCACTCCTGCTGATCCTCATTGCTGGCACTAGGGGTTCGACTCCTGATCTGGCTTCGTAACTGTTCTATTAGCTCTGGGTTCTGCTGCTGCATCTGCTGAGCAAACTGCTGGCCTCTGGAAAGAGAGAAAACACCACACAACTCAGGACAGCGTGGAGCGCAGAGGCTCTGTTCCCACGGCAAAAGACCCCAGGCAGCAGAACCACAGCCTGCCCTACACGAGCAGTGGGAGAAAGGCTACCGGGAAGCAGCCATGAGGTGGCCCCTGCTGAAGGTGCTCAATTATCATATGATGCTTTGACTTTTGATCGAAGCACCTGAAATGCATGCAGGTGGTTGGAGGGGAACAAAAGCCTTTTGTTCTACTCACGCTTGGATAAGGCTGGCAAGGTCGTTTGCAGAAGGGCTGGTGCCGGTGGCACCCATGGGGTTATGGCCACCAGAAATCATCCCAGACATGCTGCAAAAAATCATTAATTGCTCAGAATAAAAGAAGAGAGATGTCACTGAGCCTGGGGCCTGGGGAGGGATGAGGATAGTGTATTAGCTTCATGACTGAGAGGAGAAATGACTTATTGGCTAGGGATTAAATGTGAATCCTAGGCAAGGTATTTCTACAGCAGCATGAAAAGCTACAATCTCTGGTAGGATTAGCAGTCACATCCCTCATCCTTATTTCTGCTGTTGAACCCCTGGGTCAACCCCTCAGGAGTCTCATTTGAGCATTCAGACATGTGGGCACCACACAGACATCCATGAATTTATCCTCACATCCCTCCTTACCCCCGTTCAACCAGTGAGGAACAGAAACAGATGTGAAGGGGCCTGCCCAAGGTCCTGCAAGCAATCAGTGGCAGAACCAGCTTTTATACACCTACAGCTGTGTTTCTAACCCGAGTCTCCCTCCAGTACCCACGCCCAGCCTCACCCAAAGACCAACCAATGCAAAGCCTGAAGACAGTGACTTGGAGAAAGAATGAGGTGGGATTGTACTTACAGCTGCTGCACTTGTGGGTTGTTCATAAGGTTAGACGCCTGTTTGAAAAAAAAAAAAAAAAAAAAAGAAAACAGTTCATATTCCCAGCCAACCTTTCTTTGTATGTGTTTGTCTTTGTCACATGGTATTTAGCAGAATTTGTAGATTCGTTGGAATCTGACATGGCCGCGCAGTGAGTGCTTCTACTCTAGCCTCAAACTTGCAACCTCTGGGCTGTCAACTGTCACCTTAGTACCTGCACCACCCCAACCCTATCAGAAACACCTGTGTAGACAGACAGTCGATGGGCTGCTGGACTCTGCTGGCAACCCAATGACAAAAATGTTTCAAACTGTGTTAACAGGGAAGCACTGCAAGAGAGCAAGATTTTATGCAGAACAATTTTCACTTGTAGCAGAACATGGGTGCAAATAGCACAATGCCCAGGCCAAAGCTGGGAACACAGAGTGCTCCCATCCCTCCTGCACTGCGATGAACAGCCTCCAAGTAAGGCTTGGCTCTGTAGCCATAATAAGATGTATATTCAGCCTCTGCAAAGGGGTCTGGATTGAATGGAAGCCCACCCACTTGCTTCATTCCAGACAGATCCAATGCAAACTGACCATGCTTTACCACACACACTCACCATGCTCATGAAGCTGGGGTTGTTCAGCAAGCCGGCTAAGTCGAACCCTCCCGTACCTCCAGTCTGCAAGAGGAAAGCACAACGCCATGCAGTCAGACACGAGGACAAATCAGAGCACCTCCTAATGCCTTAAGATGTCCCCTGCCACTGATCCAAGGGGTGTGCCTCAAAGCAGAATGCAGCTTATTCTGTTCTCTGCTACAGGTCCAAATTGTTCTGCATAAAGTCTTGCCACTTAAACCGTGACAAAGCCAAGCACACTCCTGACTTAAGGTTCTGTGTTTATACTCTTGCAAAGATCCAGCACCCACATACACTAAGGCTTGCAAGATTGAGTCTCAGTTATACTAAAGTATATCAGGACTTTAGTTTTAAGGCCACATTACAGCAAGATTTTCTTTTCTTCAAGTGATATTTAAGGTAAAAATCAGACTACAAAAGACCCTTCCCTCATGCTAATTATGACTGGTATAAAAGGGAGAGATTTCAAATATTTCCTCTCAAAACTAAATGGCAGTAAAAGGTAATGCTGTCTCAGGCAGCTATACTCAATGTTTTAATTTTGCTTTTTCTAGTCAGTTTTATTTCCCAGCTATCATGCCTGAGCTCAGGGCACTGTAAGGAAATTATTCTCAGTGATTAGTAGAACTACGGTAGACTCTAGAAACTCTTTTTCCTCCAATTTCACGTTAAACCCATGCTCCAGACTTAACCCAAGCCAACAGTACCCATGTCCAAGTGAGACACTAATGACCGACAGCTGGTCTTTAACAGTGAAGACACCTCTTCCCTCCCCAACATCCTGATGCTTTGCTTAGCTTATTTGGACAGCAAAGGAGAAACATACCGGACTGGGGGTCTCTCTCATTTTCTGTTCAGCTATTTTCAGGTTTGACTTGTATGTGTCGTTATCTGGATCCAGCTCCAGGGCTTTTTTATAGTACTCCACAGCTTCTGTGTGCTTGCTTAAACTGGAAAGGGCCAACCTGCCAGCAACACAAGGAAGAGAGGACGATGAGTTACATACCCAGAGATGGACAGGCAAGCACCAGCTGTGGGTAGAACACCACTGATGGGTGTCACCATCATAGACCCTGCATCCATTTGGAGGTGAAAGCCTCTCCAAGAGAAGCACTGCCAAGGACCTACCCCATCCTGCCGTAGGCTTTGCTGTAGCTTGGATCGATGCTGATGGCTCTTTCACAGTCCCTTACTGCTCCAGCATAGTTCCCTAATTTACTGTAGGCAGCAGCCCTGGAGGGAAGGCATAGAAAGAGCTTTTGGGCCTGAACTCTGCTCCAGGTCCCCTGCAAAAAAGTTGGGCACCTGCACCCCTGAAAAGACTAGGAGGGTGGTGAAGCACTGGAATGGGTTACCTAGAGACTTCGTGGATTCTCCATCCTTGGAGGTTTTTAAGGTCCAGCTTGACAAAGCTTTGGCTGGGATGATCTAGTTGGGGATGGCCCCAGGGCGTTGGTCTAGGTGTGACCTCCTGAGGTGCCTTCCAACCCTCATGTTCGAGGAGTCTAGGATGTGTGTGATGAGGTTCTCTCAACGGCCATGTGCACACATGCCATTACAGCAACTGTGTGTTTAAGCTAGGGGGAAGAGGTCTGTCCCAAAGCCTGTTTCAGTCAATGAGCATCTCGCACTGTGTTTAACTGCCTTTTGCCGAAGCCTGTAGTTATTTTGCGTGCTGGGCACACAGCGGCACATGAACCTCTCTGAAAAATGCCTTCGGTCTGCTCAGGTTTTGTTTTGCTGTTCTGGTATGATGGATCTTTCCAATCCAAGCTGCCTACACCTCGATGAGAAAGAGCTATTTTACATCAAATCAGGCAGCATGATGGACCACCCCATAGCTCAAAGTGCTTCTTGGAGCTAGTTTTCACACCCAGGCCCTGTTTAGAGCGGCCAGTTTCACAAGGCTGGCAAGAACCAAGGACAGAAGATCAGCACAAAGTTCATCATGTACCCTCTGATTCTGCTAAACCAAGAACAGCCCGATAGGAGTCAGATCAAGGGTTTGGCCAAGTTAGCATCCCATCAACAAAGAGGGAAAGGCACAGAGTCTAAAAACGTAAGGACCAAGATCCCTGCCAGTACCTGTTGCAAAAATACACGGCATTGGATGGATTTAACTCGATCGCTCTGCTATAGAACGACACGGCAGCTTCAAAGTTTTCAGCCTTCATTTGCTCATTTCCTGAAAAGGAAAAAAATAGTGTTGCTATAATAAATTAAAACTTGGCAAAACCCCAGCACGATGATGCAGGGTCTCAAGCTTTCCAAGCAGCTGTTTAAAAAAAAAAAAAAACGATGAGAAAAGGAGCAGGGATATAAGACTGAAAGCTCTGGCCTTTTGCCAGTGCCTAAGAACATGAGTGAGCAGGAGATCTGTTCATACACAGTGCGGACAAGTCTGTTGTGGAAACCATGCTGGTCCTGGTATGACGGTGCTTCTAAGCTACCAGCCATGTCAGAAGGGAACCTGCCAGTTTGCACATGGATTCTACTTCCCCATTTTGAAGGCACCATCGAGGCTTCTCACTCCCGCTTTTCTTGCTCCCCCCAGCCACAGACCCATCAAGCCAGGCTGTCAGAGAATGGACAGGGTTTCCATTCAGGGCCCATTCTGCTCTAACATGGCAGGGAAGTGGAGCCACACAGGAGGCAAACTGTGCACCAGAAGAAGGTAACAACTTGCCCAACACTCTTCCAGATTATAGCTACAGCTCTGGCAAACCCAGCAGGCTCCCAAAAGGACCATGACCAGGGCAGTGACATCCTACCAGCTGTGGTACCTGCACTGGCTTAGACCTGGCCCTTTGGTTCTTCAGGGATGGTAAGCATCATGGCGCCCAGTTTCCACACCCCAGTTCAGAAGGGACTGTGTAGAACAGGGAGAAGCACCCGCTCCAGCACAGCACACCCCGACCCCTTGTGAGGGGACCCCTCCCTCCACTCTGCACACACCCCTCCATCACCCACACCCATGCTCAGCCCAGCCCACACAGCTCCCTCAAGCGAGCAACCTTCAGTCTTCAGACGTTCAGCTTCGGTGACGTCCTCTTCAGAAGGGGTGACCGGTTCGGAGCTCGTCCTGCTGTCCTGAGATTCCTTGTAAACACCAAGGGGAGAGAAAGGCATAATTTAGTGTCACCCGCATCTGCTACAAACCAGCGCTACAACCCCCTGCAAGGCTGGGTCCTTCATAGCAAAACGCTGCCAGCACCAACTCCCCCACGGGGACAGTGCAGCCTCGAAACTGAGCCACACGTGCGGTTTTCACAGCGATCCTGAATCCACAGCTCTGCCCCGCAAGACACTCACCCTTCCTGTAGCAAATTCAAAGATCTCAGGGAGGGTCTGAGACACAGCCAGCCCTTGATCCTCCATGGACACACCATACGCCGTCTCCAGGCACTGGATTGCAACTGGGTGGAGAAAGAGGGGGACACTTAGATTTCCTTTTGCCTTCTGGAGCCGTGTTTCAACCCCGCTCCACTCCCCTGGAGTCTGGACTCAGGATGCTGATGGGAAAAATCCCAGTCCTGCTGCTAAAGGACAACTACTAGCCAGCCAGCACTGGTCAGAGTGAGCTCAGAACACGGTCATATTTTTTGGCTGCTCCCCTAGCAAGTGGTTTGGAAAGCTGCTCTTCTCCCTGTGACACACCAAGAGCTGTGAGGGTTCACGCAGGACATGGTTATTAGGAAACCATCAGCATTAGGCCAGAGGTGAATTGCACAACCAAGCAAGAAGCCCATCGGAGATGCTGAGCCCAGGACAGGGCAGCCCAGCTCAGGGAGGGAGGCAGGGCTAGGGCATAGCACACAGCCGCCTACCTTCCAAGCTCTCCTGGGCATCGGGAGAGAGCCCCCCGTTCTGCAGCTGGTCATGTAGAAACTGGATGATGGAATAGGCCAGACGCTTTCTGTCCGCCATTCTGGATGTCTACTCTCTGACTTCCCCCGAAGAAGTGTCTGTGGCTGGAGAAGGGTGCTATAAGTAACGAGGCAAAACAGCGAGGCTCCCTGATGGGAGGACTGGGCAATGTGGGACACTGAAAGCTCGAAGCTGTGGCTAGACCGGAGCCCCGTGCAGCGCAACTCCTCTGCCTTTCAGGAGAAGCTGAACTGAAACTCAACAGCAGAGCTGGGAGAAGCATCTGCCGTCCCCTGTGCTCACTAACCCATATGCACTCCAGTTATTCTAGCTTTTGCATAACTCCGAACTCACACCCAAGGGCCTCTGGAGCATCCCAAGAGGTTCGGAGCAAGCAGCCGGACAGGATCAACTGAGTTTCAACCAAAATGCAACTAAAAAATAATCACAACAGTGTCCTGAAAAGCAACACAGGTCACCCCGGAGCAGAGTCGGCCACCACTGCTTTGGTCCCAACATGATTCAGGATCCCACCCCTGCAATGACAAGACACCTGCGCTGCGCTGCGCCATGGGCATTCATCACATGTCACTGGCAGCTGCCCAAGCGGACGCCTGAAGGTCCCCGAGGGACGCTCCACGTGGCGGGCGGCCTATTTGCTGCCTTTGACCTGGTTCCATTCCCATTGCTGGGTTCCCGGCTGCAAAACGGGGAGCAGCTGTGCGCAGGCTCGCGAGAGCCCTGGGGGCCGCTCAGCTCCCTGGTTTTCCCCGCAAGGAAACGAGGCTGAACCCCGACCCCGCTGGATGAAAACCCAACAGTGCGGCCACAACTGAGGGCTGCGCCGAGTTACCCAGTGACGCGCACTTCGGTCCTCGGGGCCTGGCGGGGCTGGAAAAGCCACCATCCGTCCGTCCATCCCTGCGCAGAGCAGGACGTGCGGCCCCGGCCGGACACGCTCTGGGGAGAACGGAGAAGTCTGCACGCGCAGCGGGACCAGAGCGAGGAGATGTGCACACGTGTGCCCTCACAGACACGCGTAGATATGTACGCACACGTGCACAGAGAGTTGCACATGTGGGCAGGCACACACGCATGCACGCAAACACACGCGCACAGAGAGTTGCACGTGTGGGCAGGCACACACGCACGCAAGCACACGCGCAGGCACGCACACGTACGCTCACGTGCATGCAGGTGCACACATATGCACACACGCCCGTATGCACACGTGTACAGACACGCACATGTACACATACACGTACACACGTGCCCGCAGCACAGCCCCACCGGGGGGGACACACATACACGCACCCCCCC